CAAAGGATGTTAAAAATGTTTCTCCATATTTTGTTAAAAAAAGTTTTTCATACAAACAACCCCTCGGGGGGTGGGGGGGCACACTTTGGGAACCTCTGGCCTAGGGGCATTTGGCAAACCATAAATCTAATCACATTTCCATTCTCGTGTCATTCTTTCACATCTAGTTTTTGTGTTAATAACTTTATCTTCTCACAGTTTGAGGCCGTCTTTCTCAGGCTTCATTTTCTTCTTTCTTTCTATTTTTCTTCTCCTTTAATTGTTTTATCAAAGATACGAAAGTACATTCCACCAACATGTTATAATTTTTTCAGTATTGTATAAAATTAATACTGGTGATATTTGTAGTTCTTTATTATTATTATAAAAAATAATGGTGGAATTACGTAAATGAGCGCTAACTTATTTTTCCATTTGCATTTTCATGACAGAATTCCGCGGTGGAAAGTCAAACATCCTGGTTGCCACCGATGTGGCTGCTCGAGGTCTAGGTCAGTCCCATTTCGCTACGTAACGTATGCATTGCCTTGCTTGATGGGTCACGTGAGTGAGTACTCGGTATTTTGCTTGGCTTCACGTTGGTAAGGTAACAGGTAAATGCAGTATGATAGTAGCCCAGACTGGTTGATAATTTTTGTTAAGAAAAGTGGAGTGTTTGATGGGAGTCGTAATTTCAGCTTCAGTTGCTTGTGTTCACGTCAGTAGAAAGTCTTTTGTCTCGTTAAAGGAATTGAGATTTAATGACTAATGTCTTGTGTGTTCTGAGGAATATATTTGAAGGGCAGTGAAATATCAATTTAACATGTTCGTTGTGTGCCACGGTTTTGTTCGTTATTTTAGTTTCGTAGTTGGATGAATTTTGTAGGCCAGAAGTTACGCTTGTGGAGGAAATATGAAATTAAATTATGTGGAATCACTGATGAAGATGGGATCAAAAAAGTAATAACAAATGACAGTGATTTACACTGCTACTTGCATTAATTTTTTTATTATTATTTTCGAGGGAGACGTTTCTTATAACCTGAAATGTGCAAAGTAAAATGGTTGTCACATTCTGTGCACACAGTGGATGGTGCAGAAAGCTTGCGTTGGTCTAAACTGGTACCATAAGTGTTTTTTTTTTTTTTTGAAGAGTTCTTACGTCACCCTGACACGAGTATCATATTTCTTAAAAAAGAAAATTGTTATATTTTATAATTATAAATGTGTAATCTTACTGTAGTAGATGAAGTTAAATTTTTATGTTGTGTGTTAAGATTGTGAATGTGTTCTTCAAACGGTGTTAAATTGAGATTTCAGTCCTGATAATCTGCTGAGTTTGGTCTAGTGGGTTTTCTAAAGCTGAACAAGGTGTTCAGTAAATTGAAAATACTTCACAAATGTTTGGTGTGTTGAATTATGCTGGATAGGTGGGTAGTGAAAATCAAATATAGAGGGGTTGTTAATTTGAAAAGTTTGAAATTTAAGGGGAAGAATGGGTTTAAAAGTTGTCTAAAGGAAGAAGAAATTTTTTTATTTGCTATGAACCACGTAGAAGGTTGGTTTTCGGTCATTTCATATGTAATACTGGCGGCTTTCAAGGAAATTTCTACCGCAGATCAAAATTTGTGTGTTATTAATATTTTTACAAATGGTAGCATTCTTATTGCAAGTCAAAATGACTCCAATGCCTTAATGGGCGGAGGGATATGTGTATGATAGATTTTTATTGATTAAGAAATAAACATGATGTATGCAAAGTTACGTATTTGACATTAGATAGCGAGGTAGGTGCCTTGCTCTGTCATCACTAGTCTACTGCGAGCAAGCTCACAGTTAAAGGGAATAGGAGGGATAAACTAAGCTTTCTGGATTCTTTTGTTTGTGTTTATACGAGACATATTACCACCCAAGCACTGTAGTTGGAAGATGGAGTTTATGTTGGCATTACCATCAAGCAGTGAGACATACATAAGAGAAAATTTTGATGTGAGGTGAGAGAGTTTGTGTACTGAGGTGCACGTTTCATTTTCACTTTGAATGTCTCATTATGTGCAGATGTCTGTAGATGGGCTTCATAGTTTTCAGAACATTTCACTAATACGCCGTTCCCCGGATATAACGCCATCATTTATACCGCGGATTCGGATATACTGCGAGTCTTGCCGGAGTCTATTCGGAGTGAGAATCAATGAATTTGGAGAAAAAAAAATTGTAGGCATTGGTTATAGCGCAGTTGTCTTATAATGCGGGTCAAAACCCGCCAGCCGAAACCCCGCGGTATAACCGGGGAGCGGTGTAATGCTACGGTAAGGTGACTGCATAACTATCAGATACAAAGGTCACATTCTGTGCATAGTAAGTTACGATTGATGCAACTAGTGGGAGAACTTCCGTTTTGTTGAGATGTTAAGGAATTGGTGTGCAAGTGGTTGTGGCGTGGGATTATTGTCAAGGTGTATGTTCTGAAAGTAATATTGCCTTATTGACGGACACCCTGTGTGTTTCCATTATTAATCAGTCTGGTATGTTTGTGTTCCTTTTGTTCCAGAGGCACATGCAAGATGATTGAATCTCAGTAACATCTGGCAGTGCCTCTGCTCGCTCTCAGTTCAGAGGCGGCAGCACGCTGGCGTTGGCCGTGTTGCGCGTCGCTGACAAAATGGTCTCCGTGTTGGCTGACTGATAGTTGGCAGGACTGTCCAGTCCTCCATTCAGTGATTTACGCAAAAGGGTTTAAATGAGACCAAGAGAGTATGGTGGCAAATGGGCACCTACAAGATACTATCTTATCGCTGCTTCCTGACACACAGCAAGCAAAGTACTCCTGGAAATTGGAATGTTAACCTCCAGTGCAAGTTTCACATTGGTTTGTTAAGTCTGCCCTTGAAGCAACTCTTAAAATAAATGGAAATTACAGGAATTCAGTTGTACGTGTGTTATACTTAAAATATTCATTGGCAGAACAGTTATTTTGAAGTTGGCAGAAGTGATTCATGATTTTGAGCTCATTTTCTCACGTCTGTAATTCAGAACAAGTTTGTCGAGTTCAGCTCGCTCCTGAAACTTCCAGATATTTGAAGATTTGATCAGATTAATTTCATAGAAGCTTTTGATCGCTTTTTTGTTTGTATATCATTCCAAGTAGTTTGTAGTGAAGGTGGATGTAATCTCTTCTGTTCCAATGAAAGATCTTGTGGTAATGTTTCCTCCAATCTGGAAGTTTGAAAAACTATTCTTGAGCTCAAAATATTTGTTGTAATTGCCCCTTAAAATTTGCTATACAGAAGGACTGGAGGTTATTTTTCCAGAATGTAAATAGAAGTAGAGTAATCCAGTACAGTGGCCCTATAAGATGCTAGCTGTGCACCATTGAGACAACTCCAAGATGAAGGCATTACAGTTCCAAGATACTGTTTAAATTGCTTTTGAACAGGTTTGTATTGCTCTCATTGCTTCGAAGCTTGTGGGCTGAAAACTGTGGTGCTATCCAATCACAGTGGGGCAGGTATTGGTATGATACATATTTTTATACAATGTGATGAGAGTGTGGTGGTTGCGTAGTTTTGTTACTCAGTTTTTCGAGTGAGAAACTATCATCTAAAATTATCAAGCAATAAATGTTTATCTCTTATCACTAGCCAAAACCTGTTTTTTTTTTTGTTTTTGTTTTTTTTTTCAAATAAACATGTCTGACAGTAGACTACGTAAGTGTTATTTTTCTGTCCAAGGCACTAAAAGAGCATTTTGTCTCTTCGCTGGTTCTGTATACAGTTTTGTTGTCTTGAATTGAAACAATTACAGATTGTCTCATCTCCATCTAATCAAGATTTAACTAGTAATTGAGAAGCCTTAAGAAGCTCGAGGGGAAACAAGTTGCATGAACTGTCATCATGTGAGTTATCGTGACTGTAAGTACCTCGGTGTGTTTTAACAATGTTTAATAAAGTTTTCTCTTGTGGGTGTTAGATGTGGATGGTATTAAGTTTGTGATCAATTTCGACTACCCCAACTCGTCTGAAGATTACATCCACCGAATTGGACGCACTGGTCGTTGTCAGATGACGGGCACCTCGTACGCCTTCTTTACGCCAAGCAATAGTCGTCAGGCCAGAGACCTTGTCGCTGTTCTTCGAGAAGCTAACCAGGTCGTAAACCCAAAATTAGATGAGATGGCTAGTCGAGGAGGATTTGGTGGCAGAGGTGATCGTAAGTATCGGTTTGAAATTATTATGGTGGTCATCAAATGCGAGGAGGTTAACGGCTAGTAACACACAGCAGAGATTTTAGTCTTAAAACCTGAAGAGAAGAAAATCTTGGATGACCTAGATGTAAATGGGAGGATAATAATAAAATTGATGTTTAAGAAATGGGATGGAGGTTGTAGATTCATGTGGCTCATAGGACTTGAGTTAAGTATCAGCTTCTCAAGGTTTATTGAGTTGGTAGTGTATTATGGATGGGGTTCAGTGGTGGGCTGTTGTGAATACAGTAACAAACCTTCAGTTGTCCCACGATTTAAATATTTCGACTGTTCTCCGCCATTCATGATTCTGCCAGTTCTCAGTATTTGTATCAAGCGTCCTAGTGTGAGTGAAGTGAGTCTAGCACATTATGACAGCCGCAATCCAGATTTTGGGTTTCAGTTCTTGACAATGTTCCAGATTGGGCATTGTAGTTTAGTATAGGTTTAATATAACGTAGTCAAGTCTGGCCAGGTAATATGATGACATTATAGGCCTCTCACCTTTTGTATGTTGACATATTTTGCAGGTCGTTGGGGAAATAATGGATTTGGGCGTCAGCAGAATGGGTTAGGTGGTGCCAAAAGGTGGGAAAACAAGAGTTTTGCAGGAAAGATGATGAAGGGAAGTGATATGACAAACAGGAATAAGCCCTCGCATTTCTCTACAACTGGAAAGCCTACCCATTCTCAGGTAGGGGACAGTTACAGCTATGGCCGGAGGATGGGGGGAGACAACAAGTTCAGCCTCCCTCCACCACCATCAGGAGATACGAATTGGGGAAAGCAGTTTCCACAACCCATCAAGACAAATGGCAGCACTGCAGCAGTTGCTTCTCCCAAGACAAATAAACCCATCCTGAGCGTGAAAGAGATGTGTAACGTTCAAGGAATGGCAGCACCTGGCAGTGGTAATACCTACAATTACCCAGCATTCTTAAATACTTATGGATGTGCTCAGATGCAGGCTGTTCAACAGTAGACATGCTAAAACCTAAGCGTTTGGCATATCTGAAGAACAGTCTGTGAACTAAGTCAAATGTGTAGGTTGTGTTTATGTATATATTTTCTATATGAAAATGCCCTTTTTCACGGTTTGGAAAAAAATATTTTTCTTTTTGTTCTGTAATACTCTTAAAAAAAATTTCTGTAGGCACAGTTCTTGTCTGTGAGGTGTGCAGACATGGCTAAGGTGCAGTAATGAAGGTTGTGCAAGGACCTTTGCATCATCGTAGTTTGTCAATAGGACACCCAGCGAACAACAGTATTTGTGATATTTGAAGTACGTAAATTATATGCTTTGTTTTTTCCTTTATTTAAATGGTGAGAAATTCCTCAGGTTGGTTGTAAGTAGCCTGGTTCAAGACTTCAAGGAAAAATTGAGGCTGGAGCAGTACAGGTGTGATGGTCGTTACCTTATGACAATGGATCAGAAGATTCATGCTGTTTTTTTTTTAAGTTGGTTTTAATGGCACAACAGAATTCCAGCTTAATGCCATTCCATTTTCCTGTCTTTTTCTATGTATATACGAGCTGTCAAGATAGATGGTGGACAAATATTGCTTTAAATTTCAGTATTGCTGTGTGACGTATTTTTGTCATTACTTTATCAACTAGAATTCCAACATTCATGGCGTGCTAATTTTTTTTTTCTTCCTACATTTGTTACATCTTAATCTTACATTATACTTTATTTTGAAAATCCCATGTCATGGTTGTAAGTAATGGTTTCTAGATGTGTATCATGCTGTAACAAAATCTTGTAGTGTACATAGAAACCATATAATCTACTTATTCTATCCCTTCCCCCACGCCTCTTAAAATCACCGATTGAACGTAATAACTTAGGAACACAATCATTACATGTCACACTGTTTTAAGATCTTATTGTATTTGTTATTTATCCTCGTGTTTGACTGGATGTTATTTTATTGTAATTTGTGTAGTGGGTTGAAATAAAAGTAAGTAAATCCCAGTTTTTTTTTTATTTCAATGCCTGAATGTTTTGTTTTCTCTTGTGTTTTTTAGCCTTTCAGGCTTCCACCTGAACGGTAAGAAGTCACAGTAGTGAGTGACCTGGTGATCGAATTCTATTTAATGCTGATTAAATGTTAGGTTAGAGTCATTCTGAAGATTGGTATTTACCATGTGAACAGGGTTGTCCAGTTGAATGACCATACAGCTAGTGTTCTGGCAAGTTGTATATTTTGTAATTAGAAATACATGAAAAATAACATTTCTTTTAATCCTGGATACATGGCTGAAAATTTAAACCGTGTAGTGTTTGTATCCATTATAACTGCAATCACATTTTGTTCAATAGCAATTTTATTCAAAGAAGAAATACAAAAATAATATTCTTTAAATATATATATATATATATGGTAAGATAATTCCAACCTAGTGGAGTATGAACGTTTGCAGTGGTAGTCCGTTGATAGGTTATGTAAATAATGGCACAGGGTCTTTTAGTCCCAGTTGTGGAACACGCTGACCATAGTGTCATGTCGGCATTTGAGTTGGTGCTCGCAGATAAAATACCATTGGCCTGTGCAGTCCTTGTTGGTTAACAGAGCACTGGGGAACACTGCCCCACACTTGTGGTTGGGATCGTTGCTGGGTTTTCCTGGTGACCACTTGTAATACCCGCTATGTTCTAGACGCTTCCCTAAACAGAGGGCACAGAATCCCTGGGTCAAAAAGTTGTTTCATATTACTGTCCAATAAAAGAAATGCAATGTTATCTTATACAAAATGGATTTGCAGTCTGACAATGTTTTGTATCTCGTGTGTACGATATTTATACTTGTCGATGTGTGTTATGAAAAATACCTGATATCAGAAAAGAGACCAGTATCACTGATGACTGATTTTGTTACCAATGTTGACATCATATCACATAGTATGTGAACCTGTTTGTAATGGCAGGCCTAATTTGGAATGCAGTGTAGACAAACATTTTAAGTAAAGTTAGCATCATAATCTCTCAGAATTGTTTTACAAAATGCTGAACACTGAATTTAGGCGACAGAACACCAATAACGCTAGGCTTACATCCAGCGAATACCTTCGATAGTGAGGAAGACATTGTTGTTGTAGTGTTTGTGGAAGCCGACGTATACATAATGTTGTGGGTTTACTCCTGTCAGTAGTTGACGAATTAGTTGCGCTTCGGCTTCAGAATTGATCACGACAAGATGGGCACCATCGTCACTGCTTCCAGGCCTCGGCCCATGTCTTTGCGATCCGGTAGTACTTATAGAAGCCAATCCCTGGATATAGGCTGTAGCCATCTATGGGGATTATGTCGGCAGTGCAGGCTCCTAGCACACCGGCTGAAATGAGCATGAGAAGCCACATTGCGCAGAAGGGAATCCTGCCAAAATAACAGACGTTTCGGCACAGATTTTTACTGAAGTCATGGGAAATCCATGAGACCCAAAGAAAGACAGTCGTAAAGAAACGTTTGTTGGGGAGATGATTATGGTTTATAGAAAATCCCCGTCGAATGTTGCTTAGTGTCAGCCCACTACTTACCAGTAAATTCGTGTTTAAGATATCTGCAATCTCAAAGGAACTTCAGATAGTCTGAAATATCCTACACAGTTGTTTGTGCTAGCACTGAAAGTGGTTGTGCGACTATCAGTAGCAAAGAACCGTGTCAAGGGGTGTACATCTTGTACACTGCAAAGTAGACTTCTGATTCATACAATTTAAGTATCAGCTGTTAACTCTGCAGATGTTCATATACAGGGGAATTTCACAACCAATGATAAAATCGAAGCTTGCAAAACATTTTCTGTTGCTTTATTTAGCGACATTTTCGCAAATGTGTAAGTTCATATCATTATGTTATTGATTAAGGCTTCTTCAAAAGAACATCGTGTTACAAAGATGAGTAGCTGATGATAAACTTGGAATAAGCAAGGTTTTGGAGAAAGGTTGTCTCATAGTTCAAGGAATTAAGCTACAGAAACTGGGGAAGGCTACGAAAGCTTCTAGATAGCCCTCCCCGTTTCTTATTGCTTTGAGGCGATAACATGATTATTAAGTTGCTGAACATTTAATAAAAATTTTCCTATATTACGAAGGCTGTTAATATTCAAAGTCCACTTGTGTGGTTTATTGTTTTGTAGAGAGGAAATATAGAATGTATTTTTTCATTATAAACTTGAATGTTATTTAGGTTACTGCTGTTCAAAATTTATCAACAATATGGAATTATTTGTACAATTCTTCATATGTACAAGTTGCTCTAACAATCAACACTGCATTTTGTATTTGTTTCCTATGGTTCTCATTGTAAACAGTAATTATATTCTTCAACAGCATAAACCAGTCTATCTTTATAGTGGTGGTGTTCTGTTTGGACACACATGGCCCACCAGTGGGCAGATAACCCCCACCAAGTTCATTGCCAGACTAATCTGCACTCTTCATGCCCTTCATCTGCCCAGGGCAAAAGCGCACATCTGGAAAATGTGATGTACAAACCAACCGAGCCTGTGACTAACTCATTATTTTTCATTAATTAATGTGATTCACTGGTCTGTGGTCTTCTGGTTTGTAACACGCAGTGTTCTCGTAGGTGGTTATCAGTTTATCAGCACAACAAAGTGCTGCAATATTTTAAAATTTATTTTAATGAACCCAGCAAACAGATTTTAGCTTTTTGTCTCACAGTTTGTGTTCGCTGATTATAATATCTCTTTGTCACATTTTGAGAGATCATACCTGTCCTGTAGATTACGTAGGATAATTTGATTTTCCGCTGACTGCGGAGTTTATAGAATTTAGACAATTCTCATGGTGCTATGACCAACCTGGACATTGCATCTGGTTCATGATTCAGGTGGATATACAGAGGCCACAAATGTGTTTGAGGAATTAAATTACCCAGTTATCTTTTAGTATTTACATTTTTCACTTCTGACATCTTTCAAGGTTTTGAAAAAATATATATAGCAGGGCTGTCAGATTAATTTGTGAAGCTGGCGTGTTTTTAAGAAAAGAAAGTTGAGTACACCAGCAGTTTCTACATATCATTACCTCCATTAAAAATATTCTATGCATTCTTCTGGACTTCAATCTTAGTTATATTTTCACAGGCTTCCCAAGCTGTATTTCGTAGGAACAAATTTTGGGCAGAAGG